CAAAAATTTATAAACACTCACATTCACTCTTCTGATCTTTGGGAATGAAAATGACCTAAGAACTTTCTGTCATCATGAGAAACTACAAGTTAATCTGTTTTCTCAAAACATATGAAGCAACTTTCCAAGGACAACTTCAAAGGAGAAACACAATCATCAAAGCATGGACCACATATGAAGTCCCCAACATACCTTGGCTCTCCTAGATCCACCAATAACTTGCCAAACCTTAGAAGCTGCAACATCATTAAGCACCAAACAAAAGTAGCTAGCAGAAAAGCAAATGTTCACACAAACAACAAAGCTGCTACTCGAAGAAATAGGTAAATCAACTGCAGCCAAAAGAAACCCCATGCCTGAATCAATTGCTACAAAAAGAGCCCTCACATTCACTGAAGTAGAGACTCACCAAATAGCTACAGCAACTACCACATCAGAGAGAGCTACAAAACACTTGAAAACCCCGCTACACCAGCTTCATGAAGAACCACTTCCATGGATAAAGCCACTGCTAGCCCAGCAAAGAAATCGAAACAACAAGAAGGAGAAAATCAACCTCTCATCAACTCTCACTAAAATCTTTTGATGTTGCTAGAGAACAATTTAGCATTCAATATGTAGGTCTATCATGCCTAAATCGTAGCGTTAGAATTCATTACTCCAATATATTTTGATAGAGTAATGCATTATAATACTTAGACTTACTAGGACCTCCCTTAACTGCTATTGACTACTATTATTACTGTTTATGACTCTTTGAAGCTCAAAATGTAGTATTAGAATCCACTACTCGAATATCCTTTGATAGAGTAGTGCTTTTCAGCAGTGCATTCTAATACTTATATGTGATGTAATTTTCTCTAGCAACTTAAATCTCTAATTTAGTGTAAACAAGCACAAATATGTGATGTAATTTGCATACTCTCAGTACTTTTTAAGGCTCCAGATGAATAGTTTACTTTTCTTATAAGTTTAAAATTTATATATGCCTCTCCATCCATCTGCACATGAAAATCAAAACCCTATCCATCTGCACAGCTGAAAAGGTTTCTAGTTCTCTATAATATTATAACATAAATGAAGGACAGAATTAATGTAAGGGAACTTCTAATTTATGCCTAACCAAAAAAACTTCATAGAATAGTCATAACTGAACATAATATATCTGACTAATTGATTGATGTAATTGATTGTTTGATATCAATTAACAAAAAATATTAGTCAATCATCATTAATAGAAAATACTAATCAATCATTGACAAAATGTCAAACAATTAATTAGGATATCAATCATTTGACAATCATTCATGTGGTTCACAATTACCTCTAAAAGATGCAAGTCTTACAATCTGAATCATACACTATAATGATTGGATACATAAAACATATGTACAATTTATATTTTAAATTCAAATTCAAATTAGTTGTTATACATTTAACGTTGATAATGTATACACTATCAGAATACAAAAAATTAATTTATATATATGGGATAATTTCAGAAACCTCCCCTAAGATTTCTAACTATTTCACTGGTCTTCCTCCAAGTTTCAAAAATTACACTAACCTCCCTTAAGATTAATTATCTTATAATATTTAGATCTAATCAATAATTAAAAAGTGATATTAGGAGAGAAAAGATACCATCATTGCCTCTTTTCTACAACATTATTTAATTAATTCAATACCAATCCACACATTAAAGAAAAATATTAAAATTTGTTGTTTATCATTAGCGATCAAATCACATATAACATTAAAAAATAGTATATCAGTTTATATTTTTCACTTAATATAAGATTCAAGTTACTATTTTTGGTTATATACCAATTATCAAACATGATCAACAATAAATAATAATAAAAATTAGCAACCAAAATTGATGTGAATTCCCCCATGATGGCGAAATTCATCCCCCACGACCCCACGATCTTGACGAAATTTTCCAGGTTTCGAATTGTGGAATCCCCTTTAGACCCAATCTAACCTTTTAAGTTGCGAACAATCTTGATATGATCTCAACCCGCGACTTAACGAATTAGCGAATCTAGGAATTTGGTAGAACGACGCCACAAACAAGTGCGATTCTTGTTTGATAAGCCAAGATGAACTCTTAGGAAGTTTCTAAGATATTCAAGGGTTAATTATTGAGAAGTAAAAATCCGCCTATTGTTGTTGGTTATGAAGCTATTTCTAGCTTTATATAACTCAAACCCTAAGAAGACTAAGAATTTGAAATTCGGCCCACAAGGCTCTTTATGACCGCAAATAATAGCCAAAATTATAAGTAAACTAACGACAAAAAATGTCTACTTTGCTTAAGTCACTTGCTTATTCTACTAATTCAAAGGACAAAAACTTGCTAGACCTGAACACATGAGGTTTGAATCAACTCGTAACTCAAAATGCTTCGTTCACGGGTCTTGATCCTCGAGTCGGAGTAAAGTCACAAACTCCGAACTACCTTCAAGCATCGAATTACCTTCTTTAGCCTCTTGTATAGCGCGTACCAAGACATTTAATTGCTCCTTCATCCTTTTGGCACGAGCTCGCATGATTGATCCGGATGGTATCACTACGCCCTCATTAGTAGCTTGGATGACCGCATCATTCCCTTCCTATTGAGAAGGATTTGCCCTCAAATCTAGCGCGTCATGTACAGCAAATGGACTCAAGTCAAAAACGTTAAATGTAGCGCTAACACCATACTCACCTGGTAGGTCAAGTTTATAGGTGTTGTCATTAATCCACTTGAGGATTTGAAATGGCCCATCACCACGGGGTGAGAGTTTATTATGGCATTGGGTAGGGAATCGTTCTTTGCGCAAATGTAACCAGACCTAATCACCTGGTTCGAACACGAGCTTGCGACGTCCCTTGTTTGCTTGTTGACCAATTTGTGTCGTTCGCTTTTCTATGTTCAAACAAGTTTTCTCATGCAACCTCCGCACAAAATCAGCCTTTTGTTGACCATTAAGATTAGCTCTTTCACTTAGAGGTAACGGAATCAAATCCAAAGGTGTCAAAGGATTAAATCCATAAACAATCTCAAATGGAGAATATTGACTAGTGGAATGCGCAACCCTATTATATGCAAATTCTATATAAGATAGACATTCTTCCCAATTTTTCAAATTAGACTTGTTGATAGTACGCAAAAGAGTAGAAAGAGTGCAAATGACAACCTCAGTTTGTCCATCGGTTTGCGGATGACTAGTGGTCGAGAACAATAATTTAGTACCCAATTTAGACCACAAAGTTTTCCAAAAATAAGAGAGAAATTTGACATCTCTATCCGACACTATTTTTCTAGGAATGCCATGCAACCTAACAACTTCTTTGAAAAACAAGTCTACTGCATGAGATGCATCATCACTCTTATGGAAAGCAATAAAGTGTGCTATTTTAGAAAACCTATTGACAATCACGTAAATAGAATCATCCCCTTTCTTAGACCTAGGTAAGCCAAGAATGAAATCCATCGAAAGATTTACCCAAGGTGCATTAGGAATAGGTAAGGGCAAATGTAAACCATGAGATTGTACCTTAGACTTCGCCTTCTTGCATACAATGCATCGACTCACAACCCTCTCGACATCACGCCTCATTCGTGGCCAATGGAAATACTCCTGCAAGATAGATAAAGTTTTAGCAACTCCAAAATGTCCCATTCAACCAACTTCATGTGCTTCTTTTACCAATAAAAGTCAAATGAAGCAATTAGGTATGCAAAGCTGATTAAGGTAAAATAAATAACTATAAAAAATTGAAAATTTTCCTTGAGCAACTCTCGATAATTTCACCAAAATCTGCATCGTTCACATATAATTCCTTGAGCAATTCAAATCCAAGTAATTTAGTGTCAAGAGTAGTTAGTAACGAATACCTGCGTGATAGTGCATCTGCCACTATATTACTCTTACCACTTTTATACTTAATGACGAATGGAAAAAAACTCAATGAAGGCATCCCAACGTGCGTGCCTCTTGTTAAGACAATGTTGCGCCCTTAAGTACTTGAGAGACTCATGATCGGTATGACCCATGAACTCTCTAGGCCTTAAGTAATGTTGCACGTAGTGCTCAAACCAATGCATATAACTCCTTGTCATAAGTTGAATAGTTTAATGTTGCTCCATTAAGCTTCTCACTGAAGTACTCAACTGGTCTACCCTCCTGCATCAACACAGCTCCAACTCCTATCCCTGAAGCATCACATTAAATTTCAAAAGTTTTAGAAAAGTTAGGTAGGTTTAAAACTGGTGCATGCATCAACTTATCCTTTAATGCTTGGAACGCTTGCTCTTGTTCCTCTCCCCAAGTGAATTTCTCATTTTTCTTGATAAGTGCGGTGAGCGGGGCTGCCAGGGTGCTAAAGTCCTTCACAAATCATTTATAGAAGCCCACAAGTCCATGAAAGCTACGTACATCCCCAATTGTCTTAGGGGTTGGGCACTCTTGAATAGCCTTAACCTTGGACTCATCTACTTGCATTCTCTGCACACTAATCACAAACCCTAGAAAGACAAGTTGGTCAGTGCAAAAATTGCACTTCTTGAGATTAGCGTATAGCTTCTCCCTTCGAAGTACATCCAAAATAGCCTTTAAATGTTCAAGATGCTCTTCAATGTTACAGCTATAGATAAGGATATCAACAAAATAAACTACTACAAATTGTCCTAAGAATGGTATCAAAACATGGTTCATTAGCCTCATAAATGTACTAGGTGTATTGGTTAATCCTAAAGGCATCACTAACCATTTATATAAACCATACTTAGTTTTGAAAGCAGTTTTCGACTCATCACCTTTCTTAATTCGAATTTAGTGATATCCGCTCTTCAAATCAATTTTGATTAAAAATGACTGCGCCATATAATTCGTCAAGCATGTCATCTAACCTAGGTATAAGGTGATGATAATTTACCGCAATTGCATTCACAGCTTGGCTGTCAGTGCACAGCTTACCAGCACCGCAAAAGTGTTCAAACTCTCTCTCGCTCATCCCTTATCTAGTAACTCGGCCACTTGGCGTTGTAGCTCCTTTGTCTCCTCGGGGTTGCTCTTGTAAGTTAGACAGTTAGGTATGATTGTTTCAAGTACGAACTCTATCTGGTGTTCAATCCCACGAATAGGTGGTAAATCACTTGGAATATCCTCGAAAAAAACATCCTTGTAATCCTGCAAAATTGGGGCAACAATAGAAGGAAAGTTAGCAAATGTATCGTCATTGGACAACCCTACTTCATTGCACACAAGTACAAGAAGCGGTTGTCGTTCACTTAAAATTCGTTTCACTTGTTTGGCTTTTACAAGCATCAAGTGCTTTTCCTTATTTTTTCCATCTTTTCTTTTCCTTTCCTCACTAGCCGAATTCACAATTGCCTTTTTCTTTTCATTTTTCTCGGCTCTAAGTTCTTTCTTTTTCCTCTCACTCTCTAGTTCGAACTCTTTTTGTAGACTTTCTTGGTCTGCTCGAACTTGTTTAGGTGATAGAGGTGAAAGAGTGATCTTGCGATCCTTGTACATAAAAGAGTACTTATTACTCATTCCTTCAAAACTCACTTGCCTGTCATATTGCCACGGTTGTCCAAGAATTATGTGAGTTGCATGCATGGGTACAATGTCACATAGAATCTCGTCTTCATAGCGACCAATCTTGAAAGATACCAACACTTGCTTAACTACTCAAACCTCCCCACTATTGCTAAACCATTGAAACTTATATGGTCAGGGGTGCTCCGTAGTTGGCAAGTTCAACTTCTCCACCATAGTGGCACTGGCAACATTCGTACCACTGCCGCCATCGATGATAAGGCTACATAACTTCTCCTTGATTAGGCAGCGTGTATAGAAGATGTTCTCGCGTTGCATATCATCCTCTTGAGGTCGTGCAGTTAAGACTCTTCGTGCAACGAGACCGAACCCAACCTCACCCTCAATTGTACATTCTTCTTCTTCATCTGAGTCGTCCTCATCTTCGACTAATGGTGGCATGTCTGCGTATTTGGTTTCATCGTCTGTAACAATCTCCCCATTAGGCAAAACTAGCATGATTTGTTGGTTAGGGCAATGCTTTGCAATATGGCCACGCCCTTGACATTTGAAGCATCGATCATCTCTTCCTCCCGTTTTGGCTTGGTTGGTCACCATTTTCCCCTTGTTGTCACCCTTAGGTGGTTTGATTTTTGCCTTGGTAGAAAAATCAGGTTTGGTTCGATTGAAGCTGCCTTGATCCGTATTTCTTCTTTCACTACCTGGAGCAAATTTTCTTCAGTTTGGGGCAGGATAGGGATAACTAGTCCGTGTGTTACCCCTTCCCTTGAGATGGTGCTCCACTTTTTCAGCTTTTGCTACCAATTCATGAAATTCCAAATAATGCTCCAATTCTACCTTCTCGGCGATTTCGGGTCACAGTCCATTTAAGAATCTTGCCATAGTCACTTCCTTGTCTTCTTGTACATCGGCCCTAAGCATGAGGATCTCCATCTCCTTGTGATACTTATCAATACTCCTAGTGCCTTGTGTAAGAGTTTGTAACCGTTGGTATAAATCTCGATAATAGTGGCTCGACACAAATCGGGTTCTCATCATGCCCTTCAACTCGGTCCAAGACGTGATTTCCGGTAGCCTATTCCTTCACCGAGATGTGGTAAGTTGGTCCCACCAAACGATAGCATAGTCATTAAACTCGATCATGGCCAACTTCACCTTTTGTTCTTCTGTATAGTCTTGACAAGTAAAAATCATCTCAACCTTTGATTCCCATTCCAAATATGCCTTAGATCTGACCTTCCTTTAAATTTTGGAATTTTCATTTTGATGTTTTTGAAAGGATCAGAAGAACGCCCTCGGGTCCTTTGTTGAGACTTAGGACCCCTAATGAGTTTCTCCTCATCATTTGAGCTTTCAAACTCCATAATTTTGGACTTCCCGCTAGAATTATAAGGTGTACTTGGAGAGCTTTTGTTGCGATAAATCTCACTATGAATTGGTTCCAAGGCGTCGTCCAACATCTTCTTGAACTTTGCCTCCAACGCCTCCGTCAACAATTTCACGTCAAATAGTGGGGTACTTGGTGGTGGATTACTCATTTCTCCTTCTTGTGACATGATTGAATAACCTGCAATTCAAGCAAAGACAAGAAAACAAAGTGTTTGTCCTCACTCATTCCCTCCTGTGTATGCACTCGCGCTCGTGAATTCACTCAAATTTTTCCTCAAATAATTCTCACAATTATGTTCTCAAGGTCCTGCTTGCTTCCCTTGAAGAAAGTAGAAAATTTTCCTGAAAAGTTCAACTAGTTTCACACAAGAATCTACTCAAATGTGGCTTGTTATAAGCTGAAAATTTGAGAAGATATAAGACAAAAATGACTCAAAGAATTGGAAAAATCTGCTGGAATTTTCTGGAAAAATTGCGTAGATGCATGACACAAGGACTACTAGTTACGCGACACAAACACTTGGCAAATGACTCGACACAAGAGCTGGAAATTTGGACACTAATCTAGACTTTAAGGATGAGCTTTATGGCTAGAAATTACTGGAAAAATAAGCTAAACAATTGACTCAAGAAAGCTATAAAGATTTGACTCAAAAACAATTGCCTAAAGAGTGTACCGACACTTGTTCTTTTTGTAGCAATTTGGAATTAATGAACAACGGAAAATTCTTGGATTAATTTGGAACTAACCCCCTTTTCCTATCCCAATAAGGATTTAATAGGCTGTAAAAAATGAAATTTTAAAGAAACTTGGACAGCTTCATTCAATTTGGACTAAACTAGTCAAATCCAACTTGGACTCTGGAGTAGGATTGGTGGCTGTTTTGTTGCTTTTTTTTTATGTCAGCTGTTTGGAAATCTTTTATCACATTCAATACTCAATTCTGGAAGTTTTCAAGAATCAAATTTCATGGCTGAATTTTTTCTTTTTTTATTCAATCAGCCAAGAGCTCGAAGAACTAGGGTTTTCGGCGGCTGGAATTTTTTTGCAGTTTTGTTTTTGAGCAAGAATACGTTCCAAAATCTAGAAAAACTTCAAGATTCTGTCAAGAATTCAAGAAGTTAATTTCCAAATTTCAAGAAACACAAGATTGAAGGTGATTCTCCCCCCCCCCAAAACAGTCCAAGATTTCACGATTTGATCAAGACAGATTTTGGTTGGATTCAAATATCTCAACTAAAGTTCCAAGAACTTCAAGATTGTGGTTTTAAACAATCAAGAATTTCAAGAAACCCAAGTTTTGATTTCAGATTTCCAAGAATTTTGTAAGGTCAGCCCGCTGTTTTCTTTTTTTGCAATGCAAACAACAAAAACACAAGGTGACGGCCAAATAACGACTCCAAAACCCTAGCTACAAGCTGATTTCTTTTTTTTTTTCTTTTTTTTGGACTAGACATAGAACACAAAAAGATAACATACAAATAGATTTTTTTTCGAATGAACAGTAACAGTGAACAGCAATGATGAATAGTGCCTATGAACAGTACCGATTTTTTTTTGTGGATTAGAACCGAATAGAAACAAGACAAATAGAAACTAAGAATCAAGAATAAGACACAAAAAGCTGGAATTAAATGGATATAACCTGAAAACCATCAACTAGCTTTGATACCAACTGATGCGAATTCCTCCACGATGGCGAAATTCATCCCCCACGACTCCACGGTCTTGATGGAATTTTTTAGGTTTCAAATTGCGGAATCCCCTTTAGACCCAATCTAACCCTCTAAGTTGCGAACAATCTTAATACGATCTCAACCCGCGACTTAACGAATTAGCGAACCTAGGAATTTGGTGGAACGGCGCCACAAACAAATGCGATTCTTATTTGATAAGCCAAGATGAACTCTTAGGAAGTTTCTAAGATATTCAAGGGTGCTTGTAAGAAGCCAAAAGAATCTCTCTTAATTATTGAGAAGTAAAAATCTGCCTATTGTTGTTGGTTATGAAGTTATTTATAATTTTACATAACTCAAACCCTAAGAAGACTAGGAATTTGGAATTCAGCCCACAAGACTCTTTATGACTGAAAATAATAGCCAAAATTATGACTAAAATAACAGCTAAAAATGGCTACATTGCTTAAGTCACTTGCTTATTCTACTAATTTAAACGACAAAAACTTGCTAGACTTGAACACGTGAGGCTTGAATCAACTCGTAACTCGAAATGATTCGTTCACGAGTCTTGATCCTCAAGTCGGAGTAAAGTCACGAACTCCGAGCTACCTTCAAACATCGAGCTACCTTCTTTAGCCTCTTGTATAGAGCGTACCACACATTTAATTGCTCCATCATCCTTTTGGCACGAGCTCGGGTGATTGGTCCGAATGGTATCACTATGCCCTCGGTAGTAGATTGGATGACCGCATCAAAAATATTATAAAAAATAAATTTTAACATCATAAATATTCTTGTTAATATATTAAAATTAGTTGCTGAGATTTTTATACTAATAAAATTCATTCTTTGTAATATTTTGATTACAAATTTTTTAATTATTTGTTGTTAATTTTGTTTGACAGTGCGTTCTAATACAATTATTGAAAAAATAATAAGAGAAGCAAAGAACTAAACTTTATTATTTTGTAAAGCTGATGCACTACTCATAATATGAAACTGCTCTATTTATAGTGGTCAAAACAATGGATAAGTATTTAAAACCAGGAAGTCTAACTACTGATAAAGTGATTAAATGCAACAAACTCCACTGACTCCACTAGACTAGGTAATACAAAACAAACTAATAATAAACTCTTGTTGACATGGTCAACTAAAATCAAGTGAATATTTCTAACAATTCCTTCCTTAAATTGAAAGTTTTCCAAACATTCAATTTAATTAGACTTAGCAACTGCACAGACGCCAAATAGTTTCCTTAGTTTCTGAAATGTAAATAACTTCAATGGTTTGGTCATTATATCAGTAATCTGATCTTCACTTTTGCAGTGGAAAAAATCAATTATTTCATCCCTTATGAGCTCTCTTAGAAAGTGAAATCTCACATCTGTGTGCTTGATTCTTCCATGTAGAACTGAATTTTTAAAGATGTTGATGACAGAACTATTGTCACCATAAATTGTAATAACTCCTTGCTAAAAATGCAACTCCTTAAGAATATTTCTTAGCCAAATTACTTGACAAGCAGAGGCTATTGTAGCTACGAATTCTATTTCAATTGTTGATAAAGTAAAAATTAGTTGCTTCTTTAAACACCATGAAATAGCTGTTGAACCCATCATAGATATATATATAGTCAGACGTACTCTTTCTATCATTAAGATCATCTGCATAGTCACTATCAGTAAAGCCAAATAAATCTAATTTTTCACCATTCTTAAAACAACCCATATTCAATGGTTTCCTGAAAATATCAAAGAATCCTCTTCGCAGTTAGAAGATGTCTCCATTGAACTTTTCATGTATCTACTACTAAGACTTACAGCATATATATTATCAGGCTTTGTGGTTATCAAATACATGAGATCTTTCACAATTTATTGTAAAGGGTGCTATCAACCCTCTTTCTTTCGTATTTTTTTATGAGCTTCAAATCCATTTCAACTGGCGTATTAACAAAATTACAATTCTTCATTCGAAACCTGTTCAGA